GGCCTGCATTTCTTTTTTCAAAGCATTACTGTGGCATTTTTTCCAATGTCATTGTGTTCTGTGGTTCTTATCTAGTCTTCACATTTATTTACATAATGAACTTTAATGATGGATTTCTACAGAATTTTTGTCACTAAGTGGTTGCCTAGAAGTATATATACTAAGATGGAACATATTGAAATATGAGCTAACTTTTCTCATTCAATTATTGATTACTTAGTTAGTTTGTTTATTATTTGGGGGATGGGATCTTGCAATGCTGCCCAGACTGGACTCAAACTCCTGGGCTCAAACTCCTGCCTCAGCCTCCCAAGTAGGTGGGATTACAGGCATGTACTACTTCATCTGGCTCAATTATTTATTATTTATAACTCACTATATATATATTCAGATAACTTAATCTGTGAGCTAAACTGTTCCACTTTGTTGGCAGTCATTTCTGTGTTTGCTGTGTGGCTACGGATGCTATGTGTTTCCTCTATGCTTGAGATAGGATGATGGGGATTCTTCAATGGCTGTGTGAGTTGTTATTCTAGGGCACTTAAGAATATGAATTCGTCAATTTTTTATATCTCTACTGATATTCTGTTGTTCTGTTAATTGCCAAAAGACTATTGATCAGATTTCCCACAAGAGGGGAGGATTATTCTATATCTGTTTATCATTCTACCCATGTATACTATACACATATTGAAAGTGTTAATATGTATACACAAAATTAAAATTGTTCTTATTGAAGTGATCTACTTTATATTTAGTAATGCTGTTTAGGTAAAATGTATTTTGTCTAACGTTATTGGAGGTGCACCTGCTCCCCATTGATTACATTTTTACACAGACCGTCATCTTGCATTCTTTTATTGGAATCTTCATATAACTTCTTCTTTGGGTTTACCTCCTATAAGATGGAGGGAAATGCTCTTGAAGCCTAATTTGTCTGACATTCATATTGTTGCTCCAGATTCTTTTTAATAACCATGAATATGATATATCACGGCCATTGTCATGTGGGGGGGGGGGGGTGGGGAAGTGGCCCCAGCTGGAAACATTTGTGCAGATGAGTATTTACAATGATAAATGTTGGCCAGGCGTGGTTGCTCACGGCTGTAATTACAGCACTTTGGGAGGCCGAGGCAGGCGGATCACGTGAGTCCAGGAGTTCGAGACCAGCCTGGCCAACATGTTGAAACCCCGTCTCTACAAAAATACAAAAATTAGCCAGGCACGGTGATGCATGCCTGTAATCCCAGTCACTGCAGCTCCCTGCACCTGCACTCCCCGCACACCACATTCTCTTAACCAGTCCTATTCTTTTTAGCTCCTATCATGTGTACATATACCTTTTCCTGTACCACAAACATTCTGTATAATCTCTTGTGCTGTTATGTTTTATCTGTTCAGATCACGGATATACGTCCAACCCATTAAATAGTACCAAGAATAAGGAACATATGCAAAATATATTTGTGGAATGAACAAAAGAAGTGCCATAGAGCAGTACAGTTTAACAGAAATATAATCTAAGCCCCAAATGTATATTAAATTTTCTAGCAGCTGCATTTAAAAAAGCAAAAACAAGAAGATAAAATTAGTTTTAATAATATATGTGTAGTTGTATATGTCTACACATATATGTTTATGTATATATATACTTATAAGGCCAGTGCAGTGGCTCACACCTGTAATCCTAGCACTTTGGGAGGCCAAGGCAGGCAGATCACTTGAGGTCAGGATTTTGAGACCAGCCTGGCCAACATGGTGAAACCCCATCTATATTAAAAAATACAAAAAATTAGCTGGGCGTGGTGGTGCACACCTATAATCC